ATATATATCACTAGTCACATAATTTTCCATGTCACTTGTCATATCATAAGTCATGTTACTTTGGCGAGCGATGCGCCTAGTAACGTCATCTGGTTCACGTGACACGTGACACGTGAGTGGGTGTACAATTTTAAAAAGATTAAAAAAACCACCTTGCACATATACCAATACTGTAACAATTGTTTATGAAAATGCTTAAACATGATCATGGATACGCACTTAAAAATACGTGTTGAAAAGAGCTTCTAACTTCAAAGAGAACAAGTAAAGGAGCCACGTGAATGTAACAGTGAGTATTAATAGTTTCAACTATGGAATATAAATGCGCATCGAACAAATTTAGTAGTAACTACTACTTGATAGATAATAATTCCCGTCTGTGTATCTGATATATTATCATATACTTTAATTTTCTATAAAACTTATAAAAGAAATTATTAATTTCATTAATTCAAAATTCGATTTCAAAACATTTCATTGAAAATCGAGTTAGATTAAAATCCCATTTAAATTTATAGTACACTTTTTTTTATTATTTCACCTCCCCTTCCACACCAAACAAGGTCTGGAAACACTCTTGAATCCACACCTAACGATAGCCAACAAATCTCAAATTTTGTATGTGTGTGTGTGTGTGTGTGTGTGTGTGCAGTTTCGGTCTGGGTCACTTGGACATCCGGTGATCGACGGAGAACTGAAATTTATTCTTAAAATAGGGGCCTAACGCAACCATACTAATAATGAAAAATTTTAGTTATTTTTTTTTTGGCGAATTAAATCAAAACTATTTTATGCTTATCTTAATCCTGAAATTTTGTTGATGTGATACAATAGTTCTATTGATTCTATCTAGATAACCGAAGCCGGTTTGATTTTAAATTTCGATAAATACGTTGTATTAGCATACATCATACTCATCGTTACGTAGGTCCAAGTACGTAAGTGCAAATCGTAAATCGTAAGCAATACGTAAGTGTATGCGAGTAAATTCACGTTTAATTATGTGAAAAAAAACGAAAAGTAACTGCTCCTCGGAACGTGTCGGAAAAGGGGCGGCCTTCTACAATTTTAGCGCAGTAGGCTTCTCTACCGGTTCAGTCCGGGCCCTAGGCAGTGTTTTAAAACGATTGCGAATCGACCGGGGTCGTTCGTTCCGTGGCGCACGTATTTAATTTTTTTTTCCACGGGATCACTCGTTCGTCATTGGGATCGCGCGACGTGCGCTCGAGTGCCGGTCGGCGGATTTATCGAACCGATATTCAAGGACTCCGGGAACGGGGTGGGGCGTATCGTTTTGGACGGCGGTCGGGGGACGGGAGTCCCTTCGACGCCTAACCTGAAAATTTTCTACAAACCGTTTACGGGTGTTTTGCGCGCGCAGATTTCGTCGCGGATAACGAAGCGAAACGTTTCGATATATCGATATTGCCAGTCTACGTGTCAGCGCCGCAACTACAAAATCGGAGGCCCGTGCGCGGTAATTATATCATAATTACGTTAGGCCCCTTCCTAGGGTTTATTTTTGTTGTACGTCTCATTTATAAGTATCGATTTTTTTTAGGTTTTAAAACACGTTTCACATCGGTTAGCGTATGATGCATGCACATATATGTATATCAAATTGAATACCTACAACTGTTGTACATTATTCTTCACTGCGTATTTATGTAGTAAATTCATTTAAACGGTTTAGGTGGGTATGTTGTACGCCTACTGAAATACACAATGGACTCATTGTTAAATAAACATCATATCACTCCGGGATATCATAACATGCTTACGTGCATTTTAAAACAAAGTTTCTTTTCGTTATAAAACAATAATATCAAATGATCGTACGTTTGTAAAACGCAGTTTAGTTTTAGGCTGGGACTAGGGCCTCTCCCCCCCCCCCCCCGGATGTGCGTAAGCCTCGAGGCCCGTGCGCGCGCGCGGCACTGCTACGTGTACACACGTTACGGCATAGGGAAATCGAATCGGAAACGGTAACAATAAACGTTATCGTACGGCAGCGGTCCGACGTTTTTATTGGTCCCGCGTTCGCGATTCGCTTCCGATGCGGCGCGATGTCGCACGTCGGTGAGAAGAACGTCGGTAACGTTTCGGCTGCCGGTTCCGTTATCGTGGCCCGCGCGTTCTGCGTTATACGCGCGCCCGCCGAACAAATAACAAATGACGGTTATCTTTCGCGTCGCGTAAAATAAATTATACAAAATCGTTTGCGTTATCACCGGATAGCGACACGTTCAGGCGCGTAGCCGAATGATGGCCGGGGTGTGCGTGGCCCACCATAATGTGTGTCCGGCCTCGGGCCGGCCCACCTAGGGTATATCGAGAGGGGCTCATTATTATGCGATTGCTTTTAATTTTTACCGAATTCTTAACGTTGTCTGAACGTGACGAGATCAAACGCATCGGGTTTTAATTACAATCTAAGTAATGTCAACTCGTGACTAAATCCGAACGATCGATTAGGAAATAATTGCTATCCATAGCTAAATACCGGCGCTATACCACAGTGTCGAGGTGTTCTCATCGTATCTAGACAGTGACTACTCTACACTTGTATGTCTATTTTTAAAACGCTTTGAGCTGGGGTGCCGCCATTACGTTGGTTCCGTATAGAATTACGTTACGGTCTCCGATCGGGCACTTACATCGACGTTCGGCGCACGCCGCACTCGTGCTAACGTCACCTGCGTTAATATTTATACGATTTATTGTATTTATACATTTGATTTATTGATGTATTCAACGTTTAAATTAATTTTAAAACGGCACCTCTCGGCGGATGCGCCGAAAGAATACTGTAATTACGAGCGAAACGATAAAATATGATATTATTAGATTATATACATGTACCATTTGTAGTAACGATACGCTGACTAACCACGTTTTTATAATATAAAAAATTCCCGGGAGGAGGGGGCCCACACCATAACGTTGGCCCGCCTAGTGAATATTCTCTGACTACGTGCCCGAACACGTTGACATGATTGTGCAGTTCCGACGGTTTATCGTGTCGCCGGCGTTCGATCGTGGAGTGTCCGAAGATGGATTTCAACATGCCGTACATGAACGTGACGACGTGCAGTACGGACAGCGGGGCGGGAAATACAGTACCGTTAGGGTTCGCTTGCACCGGTTGCGAGCCCCGTTTACGTCGTTTACCGAAACGCGTTTGCGCTCCGAACACGGTTGTTCGACCATCGTAATCGGTTTACAAGTTTATCCGGTCAACCTTAGATCGTACACGACGGATGGAGTCGTACGAATGATTTTGTGAAGCCAACATAACAGTAGGACCGCAGTGATACGCGCATGCGCGTTGGCATCTTATCATTAATTTTTGGCGCAAATATTAATTAATTGATTATTGAACGACATAAACGATTAACTATAAAGTGTAATTGTTTGTTAAGTTTCTAATTGCATTATTATAACAACACAATTGATTATATTGTACTTGCTACGTCAAAATGATGATCAATAACAATGTTTCGTAAATTTAGAATCAGTGATGCCTAAATTCAATTTTAAGCCGAAAAACAGATCGGCATTTGATAAGCATGCGCGCATGCGCAGATGTCACCGGTCCTATAGTTATGTTGACTTCAACTCATTCCATAGGTGTGATATGCGACGGTTCTATCCATTGTATATGATCAAAGCGTTCAACAGGTTACCACGTCTTATCGAATTTAATTGGTAACGTTTATTTTACCAATTGTTTTTACTGCTGTAATCGTTCGAATAAATATTTTTCGATTTAATCATATTGGCGAGTTCAATTATTATGTTATATTTGATACGAACAAAAGAGAACGTTTATTACGATTTCACACGGAAGATGACGTGTTTTACGTGAATGCCTATGTCACAATCCGTTTGTGTATCAATATGATATTGACTTGCCGTACATTGAACAATCGGGGTGGATACGGACCGTATCTCAAGGCCGTCATAGGCGGGAACATGGAGGGTGTTTTCGACGCGAAAGAACTGAGTTTAACGATGAATGATTAGTAGGTCAGTATCGTAAAAAAAAAAAAAATAAATAAATAAATGTACTACGAACGCTTGGACAGTAACAGCGTCCCGGACTTATCACGTCGTCGGGGGTTCCAAGATCCTAGTCGAATCACTGGGCATACGCGTTACGTTTGTAAATAAAAGTGAAAAAATAAACAAACATTTCACATCTGTTACGCGCCTGTTGCGTGCGCATGCGGGTGAACACAATCGTTGCTGGGGTTGGTGCGTTTACGTGAAACGCAATATACTCGAACGAAGTACGAACCACGCTATGCAGAGACACGTGCCGACGGTTATTTATTTCTTGGAGACCTTGTATCCCGGTAGGGAGCTTACGGTTACGGTTGGTTATGCGATACGCGGTAACCCGCAAGAGTTTATAATTAACGAGTAAATATGCATTTTTCAACGGTTAAAGTTGGTCAATCTGCATCTACATCTACGACGGTAGAACGTAGAACTCGACAGCGCCGACGTACGGGGGACCACGCAACGAACGGATTTCAATGCAGTACAATGTCGTTCGGAGGTGTCCATCGTTGCCGTTCGATGGAATCCGCCTGAAACCAAATCGCTTATCGTTGTACCGCGACCCGGTGTTAAGATTTTTTTTTTTTCGTCCGGGACCGATTCCCTCCGAACGGAATTGAACGGTTCAACCGGTCCGATGAAATCGGAATAACGATTTCAACGCACTTATTGTATTCGTATCGTGCGAAACGGTTACGCGCACGCGATATCGGAAAGTCAACGGGTGTGCGATTCGGTGCGGATTAAAAAAAAAAACCGATAGCACGATTCACGTTTCGCGGGGCGAAAACGCATCGGATCTCGGTGGAACGGGGCCGTGGCGGGGGCGAGGGGGTACGAGGAGCGGCCGAGGCCTGTTCGCGCCCCGCCGCCCGCGCGAACGCACCACCGGACCGAGCGACCGTTGGGGGTGGGGGGGCAGCGGCACCACTCACCATGACGTCGATGTCGAGCATCTGCACCATGCGGGCGGCCAGCGGCCACCGGAAGTACGTGTAGAACGCGGTGCCCTGGAACGTGTCGCCCGCGTTCAGGAACAGCGATCCGCCGTCGTGCGGCACGCGGGCCTGTCGCACGGCCGTCCGGAGCCGCGGGAAACCGCCGAAACACTCGCCGGCGGCGGCGGCCGGGCACTCGTTGCCGTAGCGGTCGGTCTGCGCGTACCGCGCGTGCATGTCGTTGGTGTGCAACACGAGCAGCCGGTACACGCGGTCGTCGTCGGCGTTCCGCGGCGGCGACGGGGACGCGCGCGACG